TTTTTCGTACATTCAGCAACCAGTGAAGCGTCCAGCGTTAAGTTGTACCCAACGGGAACGGGGAACTCATGCCAGGACTTCCTGATATTTTGTACTTCTTGAGAGCTACCCTTCGGTAAGGTAACCGTAGTGAAAATGATTAAACCGTTGGTTGCATCAGTAGCCGCGGTGGACAGTGATGTGCAGCTGTTGTCATCAAACCTCGTTGTCATGGTTAGATTCACGCCATCAGGCTCTGTCAAGAAACTATCTCTGTGCTCAGGTATGCCAGTATCAGCCACGGAAAAGGGCGCACAACAGCACAGCGCGAGGACCACCAAGCACAGCACGTGGCGAGAGGGCCGCATCAGCATCATTCCTGTCAGCAGTATCACTGAAGTCGCCTGTGTCTGCGAGGGAAGAGAAGGAACAAAGCAGGTGGCACACACAGAGAGACACAGTAAGGAGTGTCACTCCACCAGCACACCGGCATATCACACAATGTGTCCAACATGCGCCACAGTGCACTAAGCAAGAGAAGAATCATGTAATGTGAAAAAAAAGATATTTAAGGATGAAGCACACTCCCTCGAAAAGCAAAGCCCTCTTATAAACAAAGAAATGGCACTGCCCTCACCGACATAATGGAGCCCAATGAATAATGTCGAGAGTCTCATGGGACAACCTTAGTCCCACAGCAGTAGTGAAGCAATGATATGAAATGAAATGTAGTTTTACCATGTGGAGTGGTGCCTTGCCGACTGTAACCCCTTCAGTGGGATCGCCGTTTCGCCGCCACATCCACGACTCAGAAAACCGAGCAGCCAATCAATGCACCCAACAGCAACAGCAGTGACGGCGCACACATCCATCCTGCGCTGCCGCTGCCGTCTGTGCTGCCACTCCCACCCATCGCGGCACTCACAACGCTGCTCGATGGAAGCAGCGGAGACTCAGGCGCATCGCTGGCTGGAGAGGATGTCTCCCCAGTGTGTTCATTAGACGTTGTGGTGGCTTCAGTGGGTTCGGTTGAAGAAAGACCATTAGGCACGGCGGCTGTCTGTGACTCACCGGCTGGCGGGGCTTGTGCATCGGCTGCGTTGGGTAGCGCTGCAGGGGGAAGTGTTTGGGTGTTGTCCTTTCTTCCTGCCGGTGCTTGAGAAGCAGGTGAAACTGGAGTATTGTTAGGTACTTCCACTTCTTTCTTATCTTTTGGTACACCTTGACGTTGTCTTAAAGCAAGTCCATCATTTATTAAATCAGCAGCATCACCTTCGTTACTTGCATGATTCACTGCGATGCCAGAAGGATGCCCGTTGTCCTGCTTAGTCTGCGGCAGTTGTGAATCAATGGTTGTCTGAGGGGTACGTGGTGAAATAACTCCCTTTTTAGTCTGCTTCACAGCTTCATCAGCAGCAGCTTCGGCGGCTTCTGCAGCCTCCACCATTCTTCCAGCGGCTTCAACCGCCTTGTTGGCGTTCTCCAGTGCAGCTGTGGCTTGTTTATTCGCACGTTCGGCTTGTTCCACCATTGCGGTGACACTTGGTGGTGCATCATGAGCGTACTTCTTGAGATTTGCTTTATTGGTGCCTATTCTTAAGGCATCTTCCGTCTCCCTGCTCGCACTCGCCACCATGGCAGCATCGTTCACTGCGTCCTGAGCGTGTTTCTCTGCCTCCGCTGCGCTCTTCTGAGCCTTCATTGACTCCTCCGACGACGAACTGGCATTACTCGAGGCGCTCAGCAACGCTGCATGGGTGGTCTCTGCGTGTTTAGACACTGTATTTGCATGCTCTGCGAGTGGACTATCGGGCAACTTCACTACTTTTTGAGCTTCATTGATAACCGACATAACACTCGCAACTGCTGCAGTCGCTTCGTTCATTACGCCATTCGAGCTTGCTGACAATTTAAGAAGAAGTTGCTTTGCTGAACTAGATGTTGTCATGGCATTCTGAGCTTTTTTCTTAACATCAGCAGCCTTTCCATCATCAACTCCAGCTGCAACAGCCTCTTTCAGCTCATCAGCCGCAGTTTTCGCAGCCGTCACAGCCTTTGACGCCTCTTCTGAATCATTCTTAGATGTTGCAGCCTTCTGGTAGACCTCTTCGGCAGATCCTTTGGCAGCATCTGCGGCTTGCTTTACGGTTTTAAGAACATCTCTTGCTTCCTTCACATTCATCCTCGTTACCCCAACCGCCGGCACAATCCGGCACAGCAGCAGGAGGGCAACAACGAACAGCACGTGGCGCACCGCCAGCATGATACTGCAGT